ACATCTTCATCAATGATTTGGATGATGGGATAGATAGGGAACTCATCAAATTTGCAGACAACACTAAGCTGGCAGGAATAGCCAACACTCCAGAAGATAGGTTTAAGATATTGAAGGATCTTGACAGACTTGAACACTGGGCGCTATCTAACAAAATGACATTCAGTGGTGAAAAAAGTAAGGTTCTACATTTAGGCAAGAAAAACCAAATGCAAGGTGGTACCTTGCTCAATAGTAGTAACTGTGAGAGGGACCTCAGTTAATCACTTAAATGTATGGACAATCACTTAAATATGAGCCAGCAGTGTACTGCAGCTGCCAAAAAAGCCAACACAATGCTAGGCTGCATTAAAAAAGGGAGAGAATCAAGATCACGTGAAGTATTAATACCACTCTTCAATGCCTTGGTAAGGCCACACTTGGAATATTGCATTCAGTTTTGGTCAACATGATGTAAAAAAGATGTTGAGACTCTAGAACAGCGGTTCTCAACCTGTGGGTCGGGACCCCATTTGGGGTCGAACAACCATTTCACGGGGGTCGCCAAACAACGCAGCCCGCCATTTTTCCACCTTTTCCTTAGCTGTGCTACTCCCTTTTATTCCATTGGCCTTTGAAAGCCAATAGAATAGACTCTCTTGAATAGAGTCTAATTCTATTGGCTTTCAAAAGCCAATAGGAATTGTCCAGGCTGTCTCTGCCCTGCTGAGCCCGCCAAAAGTCCCATTCTGCAAACGGTGCTGCACCAGTTGAGTAGTCCTCGACTTACATCTGGTTGAGTAGTCCTCGACTTACGACCGGTTGGGGGTCACGGCATTAAAAAGGTTGAGAACCACTGCTCTAGAAAGAGTACAGAGAAGAGCAACAAAGATGATTAGGGGACTGGAGGCTAAAACATATAAAGAATGATTGCTGGAATTGGGTATGTCTAGTTCAGGGGTAGGCAACCCAAAACACTCAAAGAGCCACTTGGACCCATTTCCCACCGAAAACAAAACACTGGGAGCTGCAAAACCCTTTTGATATCTAAAATGAAGATAACACTGCATGTATCCTTTTTTTACCTTTATTATTCATTTTAGATGTCAAAAGGGTCTCTCTCTGTCTCTCCCTCCCTCTTTCTTCCTCCCTTCCTCTCTCTTTTTCTACCCTTGGTCTGCCAGTCCTCTTCCACCCCCCTCTCTCTCCCCCCTCCCTCTCTCCGATCTTCTGCTCACCTGGCAAGCTGGCTTCAAGCTATTTTCCATCAAGCTTAGGGGTAGGCAACCTCTCCTCTTTTATGACTCATGGACTTCAACTGCCAGAATTTCTGAGTCAGCATAGCTGGGCTAGCTAGCTCTCTCCTGCCTTTCCTGCTTTCTGCTTCCTGCAGAGACACAGCAAAGGGAGGAGCCCTGCCCCAAAGCTTTCCAGCTTGTCAGAGAACACCGTGAGTCCGCTCTCTTTTACACACATACACACACACACACACACACACACACAGAGAGAGAGAGAGAGAGAGAGAGAGAGAAGTGCCTCTCTCTGTCTCTGTCTCTCTCTGCAAATGGCAGAGGAGGCTGAGAGCCACAGGGGAAGGCTCAAAGAGCCACATGTGGCTCCTTAGCTGCAGGTTGCCGACCTGTGGTCTAGTTTAACAAAGAGAAGGACAAGGGGTGACATGATAGCAGTGTTCCAATATCTCAGGGGCTGCCACAAAGAAGAGGGAGTCAAGCTATTCCCCAAAGCGCCTGAAGGCAGGACAAGAAGCAATGGATGGAAACTAACCAAGGAGAGAAGCAACCTAGAATTAAGGATAAATTTTCTGACAGTTAGAACAATTAATCAGAGGAACAACCTGCCTCCAGAAGCTGTGAATGCTCCAACACTGGAAGTTTTTAAGAAGAGACTGGATAGCTATTTGTCTGAAATGGTATAGCGTTTCCTGCCTGAGCAGGGGGTTGGACTAGATGATCTCCAAGGTCCCTTCCAACATCATCATCATTATTGTTATTGTTATTATTCCCTTATTTTTTAACAATGTGAAGATAGAAAAAAATAGATTAAAGGGAAAGATTGTGGCTCTTATGATGCTGTGCTATTTTCTAGTTGATGTTCATTTTCTCTAGTTGTCTTCTTATTTTCATAAATATTAGTGAGTGTTTCTTATTGCTATTTCCAGGCTATTATCATCATCACCCTCATTATAATTTTCCCATCCCAAGTGATAAATTTGGCTTTAGATCTGTTTTTGATACCCCTTGGTTTTAGCAGACATTCCTGCAGGGATTGAGAGAGATGTGACAGAGCATACCATCTTATTTCTGTATTATTTATTTGGGTAATTTTTTTTAACAGTTTGGGTTTATTATTCTGGATCCTTGGTCACAGCTTGTTCCGTCATTCAGTAGAATAAGATTCTGCTTGCAATGATAATAATAATAAATGCATTCTGAACCAGCAACAGGAATATACTGTAGTATATTCACAGCAGTAAATGCCACTGCCCAAATGTTCAGATGCTGGGAGAGCTGGCACATGATTGGTGAACATGGGGATGATGGATAGTTATCTTGGATTTAAAAACAGGAGGATGAAGGCAAGGATGGAAATTTATCACAATCTGTGATGCTAGAGGCTGATGATCCAATTAGAAGAGGAGCAGGGTTTTTTTTGCTATGCATTGAGAGAAGAGGAGTGTGCAGCAGGTACACAATTTAAAATCTCTTCTGTATGAGGTTTAGATTTGTGCAATCTTGCTCTTTCTCTCCTCACTTTCTCTTTGGGATGACGGGTGGGGATGGGAAGGAATAGGAAAATACAAGTAGTTATTGAGTTACAGCGCTTTGTTTAATAACTTACAACAGCACAGAAAAAATGACTTATGACCATTTTTCATACTTACAACCATTGCAGTATCCCTATAGGCACATGATCAAAATTCAGACACTTGACAACTAACTCATATTTATGACAGTTGCAGTGTCCTGGGATCACGTGATCCCCTTTTGCAAACTTCTGACGAGCAAAGTCAATGGGGAAGCCAGATTCACTTAACAGTTGTGTTACTAACTTCACAACGCAGTGATTCACTTAACAACTTTGATAGGAAAGGCCATAAAATGGGGCAAATTTCACTTAATAACTGTCTTGTTCAGTAGCAGAAATTTCCGGGGTCAGTTGTGACCATAAGTTAAGGACTACCTGTAATCCTGCAGCTTGAAGGCTCATGCAGACTTTTTCGTGCAAAGTTGGAAAGCTCCAATTAGCAAAAGGCTAATGCAGTGGGTCGGGACTCCATTTGGGGTCGAACGACCATTTCATGGGGGTCGCCAAACAACGCAGTCTGCCATTTTTTCCCCCTTTTCCTTAGCTGTGCTACTCCCTTTTATTCTATTGGCTTTTGAAAGCCAATAGAATAGACTCTCTTGAATAGAGTCTAATTCTATTGGCTTTCAAAAGCCAATAGGAATTGTCCAGGCTGTCTCTGCCCTGCTGAGCCCGCCAAAAGTCCCATTCTGCAAACGGTGCTGCACCAGTTGAGTAGTCCTCGACTTAACGACCGGTTGAGTAGTCCTCGACTTATGACCAGTTGGGGGTCGCGGCATTAAAAAGGTTGAGAACCACTGGGCTAATGTATTCTGAAATGTCCAGCATTGTGCTATTGACATTATGACTGTCAATGCTTCCTTTGCCTAAGGCACAACAGCTGGCTGGATGACTTGGGGCCAATCACTAGGAAACCATAGGTTCTAGTCCCACTTTAGGCATGAAAGCCAGCTGGCTGACAGTGGGCCAGTCCTTCTCTCTCAGCCCAACCCATCTCATTGGGTTATTGTGGGGACTACTGTGTAGGAGGAGGAAAATGTTCACCACCTTGAGTTATTTATAAAAATAATAAAGACAGGATACAAACAAACAACAAACAAATAAAATAGTATCCTAGGGTTAGACGGGACCACAAGAAGGATCACACAGGAGTCATCCAGTTCAGTCCCCACTCAGTGCGGGACTCCATTTTGTGACAGAGACGTCAGCGTGTTCCATTCCTAATTTCAAATGTCTCTGTCGGGGTTCCCAAAGATTCGGGAGCCTTGATCTGCTGGACATCAGTCAGTGAGGGCATGAAGCAGGAAACAAAATGTCCTCTTCCTGGGGAGGAGGAAGGATGGAAGGAAGTTGGTTGAGAGGAAGGGATGAGGGGAGAGAGGAGAGGAGAGGAGAGAGGGAATAGGGAAGGAAGGAAGGAAGGAAGGTTGAGAGGGCGGATGCAGTCGGAGGGGATAGACGAGCGACACCTAAGGTTCTATTTTAAAGGTATTTTTCTCTTTTATTTATTTATTTTTTACATATAATGTATGGAAAGTATTATATGTATTGAAAATTTAAATAAAATTTTTTTCAAAAAAAAAAATGTCCTCTTCCCCTGCTTCTCTGCAGCCCTTGCTTCAGAAAAGGGTTCAAGGTTGAAACTGAGGCAATTGGGGATGATAGTTTTACAACGGGGTGTGATTCTCTTGGGGGCAGAGCAGAGGTGGCCCCTTTTGACTTGTGGACCCAGAACTCCTGAGACAGCAAGTCCACAAGCCTTAAAAGGGCCATTGTTCCCCACCTCTGGGCTGGAAGAAAGGCCCTTTTTGGCCTCAATATATTCCTGCTGGGGATGAGAGAAATGTCACTGCAAGATTTGTATTTGGGGGGGGGGGAGGATTGCTTTGATCTAGGGCCTTCCCTTCCTCTGGTAGCATATTTTTCTTAGGACAATTTTCACCTCCAAATTACACATTTTTCCTTTTTCGTGGAGTAAGAATCTCACTTCCAAGAACTGCCTTGAGTAGCGATGTCGGAATGCCTGTGAAAGAAAGAAAAAAATCACACACAGGAGGATATTTTTGCTTTGTTTTGTTTGAAGAGGTACAACATGGTCCTGGATGTCATTGATGCAAGTAGCTGGCATGCATTAAATCCGGTTATCAAAGAGAGACTTCAAGTTTATATATTTCCATTGTTCTGTTTTCTTTCAGGCGTTAGCTCGGGGCATTGATTCATTGTCACTTAGTTCACTTGAAATGTCACCTGTGGCCATGAAGAACTTCAAAGAACAAAGGAATCAAAGAAGAAAAAAGAAGTCCTCAGGGGCAGATGATGAGGCAGAAGATCAAGAGCCTGATTCAGATGAGGGCCAACGAAGGGCGGTTAGTGTTTGTACTAAAATGTGTTAATCAAAGGAATGTCGTAAATGTCTTGTGAAGAACATAGCATATTTCTTTGCAGGCATTACCTAGATTAATACCCAGGTAGTCCTCGACTTACGACCAGAACTGAGCCCAAAATTTCCAGGGCAAAGCAAGACAGTTATTAAGTGAGCTGCACCCTATCTTGTGACCTTTCTTGCCACTATTGTTAAGTGAATCACTGCAATTGCTAAGTGAATCATGCGGCTGTTAAGTGAAACTGGCTTCCCACATTGACTTCGCTTGCTGGAAACCAGCTGGGAAGATTAGAAATGGTGATTGCATGATCCCGGGATGCTGCAACTGTCATAAGTGCATGCCATTAGCCAAGCACCCAAATTTTTACCAAATGGCCGTGGGGATGATGCAACGGCCATAATGTGAAAAATGTTCAAAAGTCACTCTTTTCACTGCTGTCGTAACTTTGATCCATAAGCAAGTGGTTGTAAGTTGAGGACCATCTGTACTTAGATATCCTAGGCCTGACCTGGGATTATTTCAAGTTATTTCTTAATTTAACTACCACAACTTTTTTATTTGTTTACTTCTACAAGTAGTCCTCGAGTTACAAATGCAAGGGAGCCTGCCCATTCCATTTATGACTCAAGGTTTCATAGGAGTGAATCTCGTACCTTGAATTTAATTCACTCCCAGTTTTCAGCCACGCATTTGCTAATTTAATACATGGACAAATGTGCAGCTTGCTAAGTGAACATTTATTTATGAGACTTAATACCGCTTTAAGTGCAAGCACTCTCTAAGCATTGTACACCAGTAAGCAATGTATATATATATTTACATTGCCCCCAACAATCTGGGTCCTCATTTTACCTACCCCGGAAGGATGGAAGGCTGAGTCAACCTTGAGCCGGTGAGATTTGAACCGCTGACCTGCTGAACACAGTCAGCTAAAGTGGCCTGCAGTACTGCACTCTAACTGCTGCGCCACCTCGGCTCATTATCACATGAGGTATCTCAGGGTGGGGAAGGCCATGGGGGGCCTAGTGATGGAACAGGCCACCTGCTTCAGAGCACCCAAGCCCCCCCCCACTGAGATACCTCATGCTCCCTCCCCTGGAGTCCCCAGAATTGTCCCCCCCCCCCAATCCTGCGATACCAGGTCACTTACCTTGTGAAGATCTGTCTCAACTCCAGCCTCTCTGTTTCTTTCTCTATTCCCGGCAAGAGCAGTGGGAGGCCTCCGAGGCCGAGAACGGACCTCCAGAGGCCTGCAGAAGAATCGCTGGACCTCCTTTCTGGGTGGCAGTGGCTCGGAAAAGGCCTCTGATGCCCGTATTGGGACTCCGGAGGCTAGTGAAAGCCTCCCACGGCTTCCATTCTGTTCTCTGTTGCAGAGAACAGAGGCCTAAACTACTGTTAGATCATATGAGATCAGTAGTATGAGATCTTGCACCACTGATCTCGCATGATCTTGCGTTACTTTAGGCCTCCGTTCTCTGCAAATGCACTAAAGGCCTGGATTAGCCAAGAAAGCGAAACATCTCTCGATCTTCACAAGGTGAGATCCATAGGCCTAGTGCCTAGGCCGGGGGTAGGCAACCTTGGCTCTTTTATGATCGTGGACTTCAACTCCCAGAATTCCTGACCCAGCTCCTGTCAATCTAGCAGCTCAAAAGCGTGCAAATGCAAGTAGATAAATAGGTACCACTTTGGTGGGAAGGTAACAGTATTCCATGCATCTTAGCGCATAATCCTGCTGACCACATGACCACAGAAACATCTTCAAATAATGCTGACGTCCACGCCTAAGAAACAGAAATGAGCACCATCCCCTAGAATGTTGTACACTGTTGATGTACAACCTGCATAGTTATCAGTTTGTTTCTGGATCCAATTCAATTTGTTCGTTATTAACTTTATATGGCATGAGTCCAGGGTGTCTGAGGAGTTGTCTCACCATAGTGGGATTGGCCTGCCCCAATCGCTCCAGCAGAAGGGGTCTGCTGTGCATCCCATTTGTTAAGGAATTCTGAGAGACTTTTCTGCTGTGGCCCCAAACATTTGGAATACTCTGTCACCACAGGAGTGATAGGTTCTCCAATTCTTTTGTCCTTCTGGAAGGATATCAAAATTTGGTTTTGCCAGTTGGCTTGGGGCCTCACAGCATTGGCAAGATAAGAAGATCTTATCCTTGTACTGTCTGTCTTTTGGTTCTTTTTTGTATAGTTTTTAAAATTTTAATTGTTTTGTTTATTGATCATGATGGTTAACGATTGTAAGCCACCCAGTGTTGCCTTTTTGGTGAGATGGGCAGCATATAGCAATAACAATAGTATTTAGACTTATACACTGACTACTCCATAGTGCTTTATAGCACTCTCTGGGCATTTACAACATAGAAGCATTATTTGCATATGGCACCCAACAATCTGGGTCTTCCTTTTACCGCCCTCAGAAAGATGGAAGGTTAAGTCAACCTTGAACCCTGTTAGGATTGAACTGCAGGCTGTGGGCAGAGTTGGTCCCAGCTTTCTTCTTGGATTCAGACACAACTAACCCCTTTTCCATTGAAATGTTTTCATTGGGACCTCCTGTCTTCCTAGAAGGGCAAATCTAACAACCTCTGAAAATCAGTGCATAATGAAATAAATACCTGATCCTTAATTATTAAATAATCTTAGCAGTATTTGGCAAGTTGCATGCAAAGTATAGATGTTGAAGTGATAAATGACTCAAGATAAAAACACTAATCTGAGTGACATTCAAATGAATTTTTATTTCTTTTTTATTCTTTTTGTGAGGTTTTTTTGAGATATTTTTTTTCTTGTTATTTAATTGAATTAATCTTACAGTCTTAATAACTGTGGGATTTTTCATGCGGAAATGATTGAATGAGTTGGTCTGTTTTGAATGGATTTTGGCATAGAAAATAATAAAAATAATACAAAAAAAATATGCCAGGCTAAATGTGAAATGAAGCAACATCTTTCTGGATGTGTATTACTTCAGCAGATGAGTTGTCTTTTCATTTTGCGTGTATGCATTTGTCATCCACTTACACACAAGCATCAAAGTGCTTCAAACATTTTTGAAAAGGCTGGGCCAAAATCTGAGCAAAACCTGTTTAATTGTCAGGAGAAGATTAATCAATTTGATTATTGTTTTATGGGAATGTTTTTTCTCTGATTGACAGCTGAAAACTTCTCTTTCGGTGCCCCTATTCTATTCCATTTTTTATTTTTAATCTCATCATTGCTTTAGAATAGATCATGGCAAAATTTACTTTGCTGTTATGGCTATGAGAATATTTTAAATAGGACGTTTCTGTAAATGTGGAAAAAAATACTGCTGGTGGCATTTATGCATCTACTCATTTATATTTATATTGTCTTTTTCTTTGTGTCTTTACGGGCCTATGTTACAGAAGTTTTCATTATTCATTAGCTGTTAATTTGTTCCAGATATTACTCTGATTGTGAAAGATCCCATGGCTTTGTATGCACAGTTCATTGGTTAACATGTCTTGATTTGGAAAAATTAGGAATAATCTAATGCCATGGGTCTAAGAGGGCTTGTATCAGGTACAAACAACCAGGGCCATTTGTGCAGCAACCAGAGCTGCTTGTGAATAGTCTAATAGTCTAACTCAGTAATTTTCTGCAAAGAATCTCCGCAAACCACTTGCCTTCCCCTGGGAATAACCAGACAAGCTTCATGGAGCTTGAAGGAGGTCAAGTTTAGGCCGCTTGCAACTATGTAGTGATACCAAGCTAGGTTCTGTTTTGACTCCTCCTTCCAGTCTAGCTGACAGTTTCCCAATATCTTATCTCATGAAGAATGTAATTTATCTTCTAGAATCCATCTTGATATTGGCATTACTAAAGGAGAATTGGGCTAGGCTTCGGCTTTGAAATATTTTCCAAGGGCTTGGGACAGCAATGGGAAATTGTGTTAATAAAATGAACTTAGGTAGGGATTGCATCTGGAAGCCAAGTAGGTGCAATCTAGCCCAAGAGAATGAGCAGGTGGTCTTCCAGGTGCCAATGTAGTGACAGGTAAATTGTGCAGAGCAGAGGAAGTCCCACCCCATCTGTCTCTGATCATTCTCCCAAAACAATGTTTCATAAATGTACATGGAGAGATTTGCTGTTTGATGGAACTTGACACCTTCTTGTCATCCAATAAATGCATTATTAAATTGATTCCTTTCTATTCCTCTCCCTCCCTTCTCCTTCCCTCTCACTGGCCTTTTCCACTTTCTCTGAATCCTTCAAGACTCTCCTGGGTTTTACTTCAGGCTCTTTGGAAAATTCAGTGAGACGTAAGACCAGCCATGGAAGTGTTTTCAGTTTCCGCCTACGCAGCAGGGAAATGGGTTCAGAGGCAGAGTTTGCTGATGATGATATTAGCACGGTCGGAGACAGTGAAATCCAACATGGCTCACTGCTAATTCCGAGGAACGGGAGACGGCTGAGTGCACAGAGTCAAGGGATTTATAGCTCTCCAATCTACACATACAGTAGCAAAAGGAACAGTTCGGTGGATTGCAATGGAGTGGTGTCGCTGATTGGCGGTGGAGAAAGCTTGGATCCAACCACTCCAACTGATGTGTTGTTGCCACCAGTCACTGCAGATAAATATGGAACAGCTGACACGGTGGGTCTACTTTTATTCTTGCCTTGTCCTTTGGATTTCCTTTGTCAGCTGCCAAGCTCACAAAGCCCACCAACAAACCATATACTGTGACTTACAGAAGCTTGACAGACAGACAGACCAACAAGAGAAGACATGTGGTAAAAATAGAATATTTACAGAGCTTTGGTGGAGATATTTATAACCCATGGCTTGTGGGCTGAGCTAGGCTTGATAGATCATGAGTTTATTGAAGAGATACTTCTGGTAGTTTCTGGGGATCGGGATTAAGAATTCTGTCCATTTTCTCTCCAGATGTTATATGCAGATGTCAGGTCCTGAGGTTGCAATTTAGATCCTTAATCATGATTAAGATTTGGGTTAAGATAATGATTCAGAGGTCAGCAACTGCTAAAAGTGCTTATCCCTTGTCATCCTTAGGAATCAGCAGTCAAAACATAAAAAGGTGTTGCATTCATTCGTTCTCCAGTAAAGGTAGACCTCAACTTACAACAGTTCATTTAGTGATCATTCAGAGTTACAAAAGCATTGGAAAAAAAAAAAAAAGACTGGTTTTGACACTTAAGACAATTGCAGCATCCCCATAGTTATATGGTCAAAATTCAGGCACTTGGCAACTGGCAAATGTGTTTATGACACTTGCACTATCATGAGGTCATGTGATCACCACTGGTAACCTTCCCAGCTGGCTTCTGCCACTCAAAGTCAATTGGGGAAGCCAGATTTGTTTAACAACCACATGATTCACTTAACAACTGCAATGATTGGCTTAAGAACAGTAACAAAATAGGTCACAAAAGGGGGTGAAACAACTGTCTTGCTTAGCAGTAGAAATTTTGGGATCAGTTGTGGTCATAAATTGAGGTCTACCTGTACTTTTTAATAGTCTTTCCTTTATGTTCAGAAGTTGTTGTTGCCTCTGGGTTGGCTGTCTCACCTTTAGTAAATGTTGCTTTGCTTCAACTCTTCTGCAGACTGAAGAAAGACAGTGTAGCCTGGGGGTGAAAGTGTTGGATTGACCCAAGTTTTAGTCTGCCCTCAAGGACAGGGTGATGTGACAGTGTGTCAGCCCAACATACCTTTCTGGGTAACAATAAAGGAGAATATCTGTAGCTCAGGGTTGACATGAGGGATCCTTAGTGTCCTCTGAGCTTCCTTGTTTTCTTGCAGATGTTTCATCAAACTAGTAACATCATCAGTGATAGTAGGGAGTGGGGTTCTGATCAAGGAGAGAATTAAAGAGAAACTTCCTGATAGTGAGGACAATCGACCAGTGGAACAACTTACCCCCAGAAATCATGGGCGCGCCATCACTAGAGATTTTTAAGAAGAGACTGGACCATCACCTGTCTGAGATGGTATAGGTCAGTGATTCTCAACCTGTGGGTCGGGACCCCATTTGGGGTCGAACAACCATTTCACGGGGGTCGCCAAACAACGCAGTCCGCCATTTTTTCCCTTTTTCCTTAGCTGTGCTACTCCCTTTTATTCTATTGGCTTTTGAAAGCCAATAGAATAGACTCTCTTGAATAGAGTCTAATTCTATTGGCTTTCAAAAGCCAATAGGAATTGTCCAGGCTGTCTCTGCCCTGCTGAGCCCGTCAAAAGTCCCATTCTGCAAATGGTGCTGCACCAGTTGAGTAGTCCTTGACTTAACGACCGGTTGAGTAGTCCTCGACTTACGACCGGTTGGGGGTCGCGGCATTAAAAAGGTTGAGAACCACTGGTATAGGTTCTCCTGCTTGATCAGGGGGCTGGACTAGAAGATGTCCAAGGTCCCTTCCAGCTCTATTCTATTCATTCTGGGTTCTTATGGGGAGGGGGAGAAATAGGAGGAAGAAGACTTGAGTTCCTGAACAAAAGGTGGTATATAAATTTAAATCTAAATACATAAGTAATATGTTCAGAACTCCAGGGCTTGATTCCATGTTTCGCTGATCTTGGCTGTCTAAATTGTTCTCTGGCCTTGATTTGTGGATGTTGTTTACATTTCAACTATCCCTGCTTATAATTCAGTGTGGATTTGCTAGTGCAGCAGAATTAAATAGTCCTCAGGGATGAAGGCAGAAATGTTGAATCATAGCGATATTATTATGAAGGGAGAACCCATGAACAGGCACAATAGTAGAGTGAAAAAGGGAATATGAAATTGTGACATTTGCGAACATTACAACTGGCTAACTATCTTCATGTTCTCGTGATTCTATTCTGTTTAATCCTAGGGAAATACTCTCACTTAATGTACAGATGTACATTCTAATACAACACAAACCTATTTTATATATTATTTTATCATGGAATAATCCACAAAAGAGGAAATTACTGATACAGGATTACAGAGAGATAACCTGGAGGGGATGTGTAATTACTTGGAGATTCTGCTGGAACTGTGAAGTGTTCATTCTGTGTTAGGATTTTGTGGAAGTTTTAACTTCATTTGAAGGAAACCATATGCCTTAAGCCAATTGAAAGGCCATCAGCAGCAACGTGAACAGACTGGAGCAGTGTTTCTCAAACTCAGCTGGCTGGGGAATTTTGGAAATCGGTGAGGTTGAGAAACACTGGAGTAGAGGACAGATCATATCTTCATGATGCTTAAAATCCAGTTTTGTCTTTGAAGAAGTGGCCCAATACACTGAGGAATTGACTTGAAAGAAAACATTTTTGAAGGCTGAAGTGGTCTCAATGACTTCTGACATCTGTTGGCCATCACCTACTGACCAGATGTACTCCAGAACATGTGGGATTGTGCAAGCTTTAGGTAGTTACAGCAGTTCATTTAGTGACTGTACAAAGTTACAACAGCACTGAAAAATACAACTTATGACTGTTTATCATACTTACAACTGTTGTAGCATCCCCATGGTTATGTGATCAAAATTCAGATGCTTGGCAATTGGCAATGCATGGATGAAATTTACAGGTTTTGTAGCCCATCACAGTCCACAGATCCTAGGTGGAACACACCAAAATAAAAATTCAGAGGAAAAAAATTGAGCTAATATTTCCTTCTAAGATGTGATTATGAAAACATAGTGGGTAAGAAGATGCTGATATTACAGCACTGCCCAATGTCTTCTACTCAACCTACAAAGGAGTATTCAGCTGATGAGTAATCTTCTATTAATATGTATATTTATTAAAATGTTCACTGGACCACATCAGGAGAACACCAGCAGCTTAATAGCAAATACAGTCACCCTTCAGTTTAACTCCTATATTGCTGTTGTTTCTGCAAGCAAAAACAAGCAAGGTTCTTACCACTCACTTCAATCAGCAGGAGCTGAGAATCCTCAGCATTAGTAAAATGGATATTGGTCTAAATCCTTTGGAAGCTGCTGAGAATATTATCCCCCATTCTTGAATGGTGTGTAAATTTGCACAAAAATAGCTGATGCAAATGGTGCTAATTATGGCTTCTCCTCAATTAAAATTGTCTTCAGAGAGTATGCCTACCCTGGATCCCATATTAGAGATGTAGTGGTTGAAGCATCGCAGTTTGTTATTGTCAGGCGCAAAGAACCAGATTCTCACTTCAGAGTCAATTAGCTACTTTATTGCTTATGCTTATTTCACAGGAATCTTCCAAGAATGGCAGTCTCTACCTGGGCCAGACTAGTTTAGGTTCAGTGGCATTCAACAGGAGTCAGATTTTGTCCTCTGGTCCCTACATAAGAAGTCTAAACTAATTCCCCTCTTGACTCCTCCCCCTGGCTCAGCCAGTCTTTCTCTGATAGTTGTATTCTAATTTTGTACAATATTATACATTTAATATTCCTGCTTTGGGCTAAGCTGTGGGCTAAGCTGTCTTCCCTTGGCTACATCTTGTTGCCCTGTCTCCCAAGTCACTCTCACATATCACTGTTTCATGCCAATAGATGGGCCCTGAGTTCTTCTCCAAACACCACTATTGGAACTGACCACAGAGAAAGGAAGACCCCCGTCATTCCTTCTGAATCCTCAGGCCTGGTTAATTTTGTTTGTTTGTATCCTGCCTTTATTATTTTTTACAAATAACTCAAGGCTGTGAATACACACTTTCCTCCTCTGTTTTTCCCACAACAAACAATCCTGTGAGATAGATTGGGCTAGAGCAGGGGTAGGCAACCTTGGCTCTTTCATGACTCATCCACAAGTCATGAAAGAGCCAAGGTTGTCTACCCCTGGGCTAGAGAGAGTGACTGGCCCAAAGTCACCCAATCAGCTTTCATGATAAAATGGGACTAGAACTCATGATCTCCTGGTGATTCACCCAAAGTCTTCCAGCAGGCTTTCATACCTAAGGTGGGACTTGAACTGGTGATTAGCCAAAAGTCACCCAGTCAGCTTTCATGCCTAAGGAAGGATTTGAACTCAGTTTTCCCTAGTGATTGGTCCAAGGTCACCCAGTAAGTGTTCATGCTAAGGCAGGACTAGAACTCAAGGTCTCCTAGTGATCGGCCAAAAATTATCCAACTGGCTTTCATGCCAAAGAGAAGTGAACTCACAATCTCTCATTTTCTAAACTGGTGCCTTAAATTAATAGTTATTGAAAGCCACTGAGAGAATCAAAAGAGCCAGGATACTATCCGGGCTCTGCCAGAGGTTATCCACAAATTTTGGTGTGTTGTTGGAATTGCAACAAGTGAACTGCTTAGGCTATTTTGGCAAAGGTAGTAGCCCTCTGTATGATCTTCCTCAAGCTATGTGTCTAAAAAGAGGTACAACCCCCCCACCCCTCATTCCCGCTCGAAGTATTTTGGTGCAAATTGCATATGGATCAATTGTTCTATAAATGTGTGAGCAGAAAATATATCAAATGGAATTTATCTTAACATGGCAATTTTTAGTGCCGACTCCAGTAAAAGTGTAAACAATAAAGCCAATAGCTTTATTGTTTACACTTGTGCTTAATACTTTATGAAACTAAAATATTAATAAAAATTAAAAGTGGAATAGAATAGAATAGAATAGAATAGAATAGAATAGAATAGAATAGAATAGAATAGAATAGAATAGAGCTGGAAGGGACCTTGGAGGTCTTCTAGTCCAACCACCTGCTTATGCAGGAAACCCTATACCAGTGGTTATCAACCTGTGGGTCGGGACTCCATTTGGGGTCGAACAACCATTTCACGGGGGTCGCCAAACAATGCAGTCCACCATTTTTTTCCCCTTTTCCTTAGCTGTGCTACTCCCTTTTATTTTATTGGTTTTTGAAAGCCAATAGAATAGACTCTCTTGAATAGACTCTCTCTCTTTTGAAAGCAATAGGAATTGTCCAGGCTGTCTCTGCCCTGCTGAGCCCGCCCAAAGTCCCATTCTGCAAACAGTGCTGCACCAGTTGAGTAGTCCTCAACTTACGACCGGTTGTGTAGTCCTCGATTTACGACTGGTTGGGGGTCGCGGCATTAAAAAGGTTGAGAACCACTGCCCTATACCATTTCAGACAAATGGTTGTCCAATCTCTTCTTAATGTTGGGGCATTCACTACTTCTGGAGGCAGATTGTTCCACTGGTTAATTGTTCTAATTGTTAGGAAGTTTCTCCTTAGTTCCAGGTTGCTTCTTGCCTTGATTAGTTTCCATCCGTTGCTTCTTGTCCTGCCTTCAGGCGCTTTGGAGAATAGCTTGACTACTCCCTCTTCTTTGTGGCAACCCCTGAGATATTGGAAGACTGCTCTCATGTCACCCCCTACTCCATCTTTTCATTAAACGTATATATTTTAATAAAAATATGTTAATATAATAATAAAAATAACAATGACAATCACCATAGCTTGTACTACCAATACTTATGAAAATTGTAATCTAATCATAGGAAGATAAACATTAGCTGAATTCAAGGTCATTTCTTTTTTCTAAGTTAATATTGAGTAGTATTTTAATTCTTTTCTTCTTTTTTTGAAAAAGGTAAATAATTTTTTTTTAAACAATCTGCCTCAAATTGTTGTTCGCAACTTTCCCTAGACAAAAGGTTCCGAATTAAACATTTCCCACAATACATAGTTTTTAATATAAATCTATGGCAAGCCTTCTTAAAACCATATTTACTAAGCGCAGGTGCTTTTTAACATGAAGTTTTCTGATGTAAGCTCTTTTTTCTGCCTTTGCATAAAGATTATACATATAAATTCATCGCACATTGCCTTTATATAAATTATGGGGAAATTTTTCAACAACAGCTGCCTTATCATCTCCCCAGTTCTATTCTATGTGATGTTAACAATATCTTTTAAAAATTCTCAGTATTTCATTGACAATCACCTTTGAAAACCTCTTTGATTTTATGAGTTCATTACAATTTTATAAATCTCATTACTTGCATACATTTCAAAATGTAATGTTCCCTCTTAAACTCTGTTGTTTGTGAGCGTGAGAAAGAACAAAAACACTTTTGCTAGTTTATTCTGGTTGTTCCAGTTTCCTTAGCATAGATTGGTCAGTAGTGATAAAAATGGGAAATTGGCAGTTGCCGTTTTGATTTCTGATCATATTGGGGAAAAAATAAAGTGGTAACTGGTTATTTTTGCAGCTGCCAGGGAAAAGTAATAATAATAATGACAAAGTTGGAAGGGACCTTGGAGGTCATCTAGTCCAACCCCCTGCTCAGGCAGGAAACCCTATACCATTTCGGACAAATGGCTGTCCAGTCTCTTCTTAAAAACTTCCAGTGTTGGAGCATTCACCGCTTCTGGAGGCAGGTTGTTCCACTGGTTAATTGTTCTAACTGTCAGGAAGTTTCTCCTGACACTTAGAACAATTACATCCTTACATCCACGAACAAATAATGATAGATACTAAAAAGAATATCCATTTATTACCAATGGTGATTGTTTCGGAACAAATGGGGGGGACACCAAATTGAAGATTTTTTTTTATTGGCAAGTTGATTTATTGTGGGGGGGGGGTTTCCTGACAAGGTTAGGATTTTGTCTCCCTTCTCCACCTGCAGTGAATAGAAGAAATTAAAAACATGCTATAAATTAGTGCACGGATCCCCAGCTCCAGGCCACAGACTGGGATTGGGCCGTGGCCTCTTAGGAACCGATCCATTTCATCTGCACATATGTGGGATCTAAGTAGTGCACGGGACCATTCCCCTCACCCACCGCCCCCGTCATCGATCTGTGGAAAAATTGCTTTCCCCAAAACCAGTCCGTGGTACAAAAAAGATTGGTGGAGGGCGCTGAATTAGAAGAAAACATTACTACGCTATGGATGCTTAATTAACTTCTGACTTTCATTAAGGAGAGCTGATTTTGTTTAATGGTTAAGGCATTAAGGAGGCTGTGAAATTCTAGTCTTGCCTTAGGTATGAAAGCTGGCTGGGGAACTTTGGGCCAATCACTAGGCCACAGTAAGTTCTAGTCCCGCCTTAGGCATGAAAAAGGGCAACCAGGTGATTTTGAGTTAGTTACTCTGTTGCAGCCCAACCAGCAGGGTTGTTGTTGTGGGGAAGACAGGAGGAAGAAGTATTAGGTATGTTTCCCCGTGATGAGTTATTTGTAAAAACAAAAGCAGGGTGCAAACAAACAAACAAACATAAATAAAATAATTAAATAAAGAAATAAATAAAAAAATAAAATAAAAATAAAATAAAAATAAAATAAAATAAGTTATCACCCCATCTCGGATCTAATGAGAACTGAGCCATATTTCCTGAAAGATCTTTTGAATTTAGAAACATGTGTTTGTCATAATAAAGAGCATTCTATACTTGACCCTTTGGAATTTGTTAAAATGGGCAGTTCTCCGATCATTTTAATTCAATGTGAAATATGAGCCAAGGGAAAAATTTCTATATAAATTTGGAGCTGTGCGTTCTTTTTTACTCTGTCTGTTGGTACACAACTTTTTCTCCACATAATTTATGCCTGAGTGGCATTGTGCCAGCAGCCTTTTCATCAGAGGAAATGTCTTCCAAAGTAGATTTGTGTTAAACAGTTCAGCCATCTTAGACATATCAGGCATATCTCCTATTCTGCAAAACACAGCACTTGCCTGCCATAGTTCCACTCCTACAATTACTACACCTGCTAGCATCTATGTGTCATTTAGAAACATTAGCAGAAGCGGAGTTTGGAAAAACAAAGATCTCCTACCTGCCAAAATGACAGATGAATATATTCAAAAGGCACCACAGGGAGCTCTTAACCACCACAAAAGAACACAAACTGAGTTAACTCTAGCAAGCTTGGACTCTTTCCTAATGATTTCAGGGGGTGGGTGGTGGGTGGGAGGGAGGGTAACCTAGATTTGTCCATTAGCCAACATAACTATACATAGGTAGTCCTCGACTTACAACCAAATTGAGCCAAAAAATTCTGTTGCTGAACAAGACAGCTCAGCATTTTATGACGGGGTTTTTTTTGGGGGGTCACAATTGTGAAGTGAATCACTGAAATCGTTAAGTCAGTAACACTGTTGTTAAGTGAATCTGGCTACAATCCTCCAGATGTTGTCAGGCTCCAAGATCCGGAGCATGGTTAATAACAAGAGATTCTGGAGGACACAATCCACAACATCTGAAGGGCCACAAATCCCTGTTCCCTACAGCTTAGACACAAGCAAGATCCTTGAAACACATTATTTGATTGCTTAATTGAAACCTTCATGTGGTTCTTGTTTATGGAGTATTTCTTGAGTTGGGTTAGGTTACCTTCTGTAAATGGATAGTCTGGCTTTTGGATAGGACATTGATTTTTCCTTCTTTGTGTATTGGGCAGGATGTGGTAAGAAGATGAGATAGAATAGTGAATGAAGGTTACCAGTCTCAGGAACTTCCTGAGCTACAATCTATGCTTCTGATGTCCTCCAGGCTGAAGTTCTGGCTATTATTTCTATGCTGCTGCTGAATGATATATCCCAACAACCAGGGGGAAAATTAGTATCTGTTTATCAATTATAGATCGCTGCCCACTTTCCCTTCAAAATAGTAATAGTAATAATAATAATAATAATAATAATAATAATAATAATAATAACAACAACAACAGTCATAGGCTCCTTGGGTGCAATCCCAAAACCACTGGAGCACCACTTGAACACCATTGGCATTGACAAATTCGCTATTAGTCAATTGCAAAAGGCGGCCTTATTAGGAACTGCTTCCATCCTGCGACGATATCTGTAATACCATCAAACATCCACATCTGCCTATCCCAGGTCCTGGGTAAGGACTCGATAGGTAGACAAAATGCCAAATCCAGTCTGAATATCTGTCTGACTGTGTGATGATCCATAATAATAATAATAAAATTGGAAGGGACCTTGGAGGTCATCTAGTCCAACCCCCTGCTCAGGCAGGAAACCCTATACCATTTTGGACAAGTGGCTGTCCAGTCTCTTCTTAAAAACTTCCAGTGTTGGAGCATTCACTGCTTCTGGAGGCAGGTTGTTCCACTGGTTAATTGTTCTAACTGTCAGGAAGTTTCTCCTTAGTTCCAACTTGCTTCTCTCCTTGATTAGTTTCCATCCGTTGCTTCTTGTCCTCTCTTCAGGCGTTTTGGAAAATAATAACTATCATAACTAGCTAATAATCTTTTGGCTTTGAGGAAACTGTTCATACCAGGGACTTCACTTCTTTGGAAATATGGTAGATGTGGGAATAAAGGCAAACCTTTATTCCCACATCTGGGAAAAAAATAAAATCTTATTCAAGCACATCAGATATGCTTTGGGTAGCTTACATGAACTATTCATGGGATGTATTTCTTGACCTAGACCTCCATTTCTGAAGAGCTGAACAAGAGGCAGCTTCTATCACCCCAACGCCTTTCTATGGAGCATTCTGAAGAACACTTTCATAGGAAACGTGCTGTGAGTGCTGTCAGCATCATCACCAGCGCTTTGGAAGGTAAGACTTCCCTGTGATACTCAACCTAGAACAGACATCTCCAAATATGACAACTTTAAGACTTGTGGACTACAACTCCCAGAATTCCCCAGCTACTGTGGCAGACCGAGGAATTCTGGGAGTTTAAGGTTCCAAGACTTTAAAGTTGCCAGATTTGGAGAAATATCATGATACAGGCAGTCCTTGACTTATGATTGTTTGTTTAATGACCATTAAAAAATTACAGTAGCCTTGAAAAAAGTAATTTATGATTTGTACTCACATTTGCAATCATTGCACCGCCCTCCAAGGTCATCACATAATTGTAATATAAGTACTTGGCAGCTGGCTCGCATATGTGACGGTTGCAGCATTCTGGGGTCACATGGTCACGATTTGTAACTTTTCTTGCTGATTTCTGGCAAAGGACACCCAATAGGGAGAAGCTGGTTCACTTAATGACCATGTAATTCATTTAACCTCCACAATTATTCTCTTAATGATTGCCATACAAATGGATATAAAATCGATGTAGGGTCACAATGACTTATAATGGAAATTCTGGTTTCCCTTGTAATTGTAAATCGAGGACTACCTGTATAGAATAGAATATTAGGTCATGCACCACTTTGCTGATTGTTTGCTGAATGGCGGCGTATTCTGTATCAGCCTTCCTCTAATCCAGGGGTAAGCAACCTTGGCTCTTTTATGACTGGTGGACTTCAACTCCCAGAATTCCTGAGCCACCATGGCTCAGCTTGGAAACCTCTCCCTTTCCCCTCAGCATGGCTGGCTCAGGAATTCTGGGAGTTGAAGTCCACGAGTCATAAAAGAGCCAAGGTCTACCCTGGCCTAGGCCTAGGCCGCTTTATGACTGGTGGACTTCAACTCCCAGAATTCCTGAGCCACCATGGCTCAGCTTGGAAACCTCTCCCTTTCCCCTCAGCATGGCTGGCTCAGGAATTCTGGGAGTTGAAGTCCACAAGTCATAAAAGAGCCAAGGTGGCCTACCCCTGGTCTAGATCTAGGCCGCTTTATGACTGGTGGACTTCAACTCCCAGAATTCCTGAGCCAGCATGGCTCAGCTTGGAAACCTCTCCCTTTCCCCTCAGCATGGCTGGCTCAGGAATTCTGGGAGTTGAAGTCCACGAGTCATAAAAGAGCCAAGGTGGCCTACCCCTGGTCTAGGCCTAGGCCGCTTTATGACTCGTGGACTTCAACTCCCAGAATTCCTAAGCCAGCATAGCTCAGCTTGAAAACTCTCCCTTTCTCCTCAGCATGGCTGGCTCAGGAATTCTGGGAGTTGAAGTCCATGAGTCATAAAAGAGCCAAGGTTGCATTGGGACTACAACACCCAGAATTCTGAGGCAGCATTTCTTAAGCTCTGGGGGTTGCATCACAGCGCATCAGATGGACGTGGGGCATGTGTCCTAATAAAAGCTACTCTAAGAGATCTTTATTTAAGCTTTGGGAAAGAAATTCTGCTAATCTCCTCTTAATAGGATTTTGCATTGTTTCATTCAGAAGCAATGTTTGGTGAACTCCTAACAGCTCAGAATTACACAGAGCCGTTGTATAAATATCGACTTAGAAGTAAGTAAGTTACATAATATACGGTCTGAATGTAATCACTTATTATAGTGTGGAAATTGCCTTACCAAGGGCATAGATATCATTGTTGTAGCCTACTGCAGGTTATTTTGGGGATAACACACAATCGTTAGATAGCTTTGCCCTTCCGAATGTATCTAATCAACAGCTGGGAAAGAGTCCAGGTAGTGCTCAACTGAAAACCATAACTGATCCCCAAACCTCTGTTGCTAAGCAAGACAGTTTTTAAGTGAGTTTTGTCCCAGTTTACGACCTTTCTTGCCACAGTTGTTAAGTGAATCATTGCAATTGTTAAGTTAGTAATGTGGTTGTTAAATGAGGATGGCTTCCCCATTGACTTTGCTTGTTGGAAGTTTGCAAAAGGCAGATCACGTGACCTTGAGCCACTGCAACTGTCATAATTATATGCCAGTTCCAAAATGTTCAAAATTCCAAAGTTTTGATCAAGGACCACCTGCACATACTTCACTGCATATTGGAACTTCCTTTCCAGCCACCATTTCCCTGGGGTAATTTTGTATCCAGTCTACTCAGATGTAAAATTGGTAGAAATAAGGGCAAAAAAGAGGGAGGCATTTAGGATTGGTTCACTGCCAAAGGCAGGGGTTGGCCACCTTGGCTCTTTTATGACTTGTAGACTCCCAGAATGCCTGAGCCAGCCATGTTGAGGGGAAAGGGAGAGTTTCCAAGCTGAGCCATGCTGGCTCAGGAATTCTGGGAGTTGAAGTCCACGTGTCATAAAAGAGCCAAGGTGGCCTACCCCTGGCCAAGGCTATGGAAATTATAGCCCTGCAGATGATGCCAAATTACTGCTCTTAGAAGTCCTGTCCAATGGAACCAGTGGCAGACAACATTAGATGTTGTATTTTAGCAATGTCTGAAGGTGTACAGATCTTTATTCTTTTTTTCTAAACCAAGACAGGACCTTCAGAATATTGTGGCTTCAATTATCACATTCGGAAAAACGCATCTTGACTCTTTTAAAATTTTATTGCTTCTTTAAATGAAAGAAACACATCCAATTCTTTTTTTCAAATGCAAGATAATTAAGTAAAAGGGCAAACAGAACTTTGGCATATAAATATATGAACATGTAAGTCATCTTGAGAAATTAAAAATGTAATATTTCTATTCAAAAAGACAAAGGTACAGCTAATCCTTAGGTTATAACAATTGGGACCAGGATTGTTGTCACTAAGTGATGAGTCACGTAACTGCCTGGTTTAGTTTAGTTCTTGTTGCCATCATAACTCCCAGCTGCATAAGAAGCAAATTGTAGAAGAGCAGGCAGAACTGGGGAGGGGAGTTAAGCGAGTAATCTGTCTACGGTTGTAATGTTACCAAAAATGTTACCACAACCCCTCTTGAATTGTGTTGATCCTTACCTGGTGCCAATTTAGTACTGAACTTTAATTGACTTGATTCTTGTGTATAAGCTTGAGCAACAGATCTTCTGAACTGCAAGCTAACCTATGGTCCTGATGTTTTGCACCCAACACAAATGGCAGGAATCCCAAATAAGTAGCGTAGGACTTCCAGGGGGGGTGCTAGAAAGACTAGCCCAGTGTACGTGTGTCAATGGAGGCTGGGGAGTATTGGGGGGGTATTGCTGGTGGGAGTTATTTACTAGAGCAAATTGTGAGTTTTCCTGGTGGCTTCCCCATTGACTTTGCTTTGGGGAAGCTGGCAAGAATGTTGCAAATAACAATCATGTGACTGCAGTTGCTGAAATTATAGGGATCAGTTGTATGCCCTTTTTTTTAGCACTACCTTAATCTCTAATGGTTGCTAAACAAATGGATGTAAACCTAAGACCATCTGCAATATTTTAAGAAAAAAAATGTTTGCTCACACAGATAAGAAATATCAGCATTCATTTCCCCCTAGGGTTTGGGTTGGCAACCTTGGCTCTTTTATGACTCGTGGACTTCAACTCCCAGAATTCCTGAGCCTGCATGGCTCAGCTTGGAAACCTCTCCCTTTCCCCTCAGCATGGCTGGCTCAGGAATTCTGGGAGTTGAAGTCCACGAGTCATAAAAGAGCCAAGGTGGCCTACCCCTGCCCTAGGGCAACAGTTACTGTATTATCGGATACCAAAATACCAATTGGATACTAAAAGCATCTGATCCTGAATAGGTTGAAATATATGAATGTAAAGGAATAAATAAAATCTGCTGAACATGCAGTAAATGTATTTATTTCCTTTCCTGCGTCCAACTACTGCTACTTACTCCACCACATGCTCTGTTCCTTCTTACACAGAGCTTGAGGAATCTCAACAGAAATGTCCTCCTTGCTGGAATCACTTTGCAGTAAAATTTCTCATATGGGATTGCTGCCCAATGTGGCTCTTGATCAAGGAGAAAGTCAAGTTCATCATTATGGATCCTTTCAGCGACCTCACAATCACCCTTTGCATTGTGATGAACACACTCTTCATGGCCATGGATCACTACAAGATGACCAAAGAATTTGAGGAAGTGCTGAACGTTGGGAATCTGGTATGTAGGTCATGTTTCACGTGTCTTGCTTCCTTCCTCCACGACTCCCAGAATTATTTTTAATCATGCTCTGGGAATTACTATCTCAGCACATCTGGTTAGGAATAATTCATTCCAACAGGAAGATAAATGAAATGACATGATGGCTCAAGAGCCTATGTAACCCAGTTGCCTATATTTAACAATGGTCAGCCTTGGGTATGTCTTATTATTGTCATCTCTGTTCATAGGGGATAGATTTACTTATTTTTATTTATTGTTAAATGTATATGGCTGCTCACCTCACTCAGAATAACAGAGTTGGAAGGGACCTTGGAGGTCTTCTAGTCCAACCCTCTGCTCAATCAGGAGATCCTTTATCATTCTGGGCAAATGGCTGTCCAATCACCTTAAAAATCTCCAGAGATGAAGCACCCACAACTTCTGAAGGCAAGCCATTCCACTGATTTTTTGTTCCCCCTGTCAAGAAGTTTCTTTTTAGTTCTAGGCTGCTTGTCTCTTTGGTTAGTTTCCATCCGTTACTTCTTGTCCTGCCTTCAGTGCTTTGGAGAATAGGTTGAACCCCTCTTCTTTGTGGCAGCCCCTCATATATTGAAACACTGCTATCATGTCACCCTTAGGTCTTCTCTTTATTAGACTAGACCGGGGTAGGCAACCTTGGCTCTTTTATGACTCGTGGACTTCAACTCCCAGAATTCCTGAGCCAGCCATGCTGAGGGGAAAGGGAGAGTTTCCAGGCTGAGCCATGCTGGCTCAGGAATTCTGGGAGTTGAAGTCCATAAGTCATAAAAGAGCCAAGGTTGCCTATCCCTGGTCTAGATATACCCAGTTCCTTCAACTGTTCTTCATATGTTTTAGCCTCTAGTCCTCCTATGACTCTGGGCAGGTAACAAGGTTAAAAATAAAATACAAAATACAAAATATTTTTTTTAAATGCCACAAAAGTCATTAAAAAGAATAAAAGTGTTTAAAACCATTAAGACCATGCTATTGTTTTTATGCTAGTAGTATTACTATTGGCAAGATGCAATTAGTTTTAGGAAGAAGAAAAGGGGGGAAAATGAGGCAAATTTCTGCACTTCACATAATGTTAGTACATCATCATCCTGACCCATGTAGCTCCTAAAAAGGAAAATAAACAAAGGGATATTGCTTGCCACAAAGAGATGGCACTTTAGCTATATAAGCTAATAATAATTGATTGCTTTACTTCCTATTACACATTCTTCCTGTTTTCCCTTCCTTTACAGATGATGAATATTAGGTCAAAATTGTGACCTAATTTAAGGGTTAAAAAAGTGTGCCCTGTGGGTTGCAAATGCTTATCATCCCTTGAGACCTCACGTAATGAGATGGGGTCAAAACTATGGAATACTTTTTGCAGTTTGATTAAATTACAGGTTTTTCATCACTTATATAACTTTTAAGGGCATTAACTATAAATAATAGTTGTGAGTTTGGGTTCCTTGATGCTCTCTGAGTTTGATTGTTTGATTATTGGAGACGTTTCATTACTCAACTAGATAACATCAGTGCCACCGGTAGTTGGATAATTGTTGGATAATGAAACATCTGCAAGAAAATAGCCAAGCTCAGAGAGCACCAAGGACCCCATAGTTCAACCCTGAATTACAAATATTGTCTTTCATTGATAGTTGTATTTCCAAAATTGCTGAGATGTTACCAAATGCAGAAATGTATGTGGTTTATGTGAAACAGGATCACTCTTTTTACATAACCCCTAGTAGACATCAGTGGTTATATATAGAACATAGAATCATAGGGATGGAAGGGACCTTGAAGAATTTCTAGTCCAACTCCCCTCTCAAGGCAAGAGACCTTATACTAGGGGTGTCAAACTGCTGGCCCGTGGGCCGGTTTCATCATACTGGAGCTGTGCCCACCCCATTGCTGGCAATGGCAAAAAAACTCCGATACATTGCGCGACGTCACGTGACGTTGTGAGTTTGACATGTCTGCCTTATACCATCTCCATCAAATGTTTTCCACTCTATTTTTTAAGACCTCCGGCCATGGAGCACTCACGATTCCAGGAAGAAAGGAAATTTCTCCTTATGGTTCTCTCTTGAACAAGCTTTCACCCATTGCTTCTTGTCCTGCCCTCAACTGCTTTGGAGAATAAGTCAATCCCTCAAGTACTAGAAGACAGATATCATGGTCCCTTTAATCCAGTGGTTCTCAACCTTTTTAATGCCACGACCCCCAACCGGTCGTAAGTCGAGGACTACTCAACTGGTGCACCACCGTTTGCAGAGTGGGACTTTTGGCGAGGTCAGCAGGGCAGAGACAGCCTGGACAATTCCTATTGGCTTTTGAAAGCCAATAGAATTAGACTCTATTCAAGAGAGTCTATTCTATTGGCTTTCAAAAGCCAATAGAATAAAAGGGAGTAGCACAGCTAAGGAAAAGGGGAAAAAAACGGCGGACTGCGTTGTTTGGTGACCCCCGTGAAATGGTCGTTCGACCCCAAATGGGGTCCCAACCCACAGGTTGAGAACCACTGCTTTAATCCTTCTCTACATTAGGTAAAATGTTCCTATTTCTCTCTCAACTGGCCATCATACAATTTAGCTTCCAGACCCCTGATCATCTTTGTTGCTCCTCTCTACACACTTTCTAGGGCAGGGGTGTCAAACTGCCGACACGCGGAGCGGACGTGTCATCCAGAAGCCGCGCCCACCCCATTGCCAGTAATGGCAAAACTGTCCCGATATGTTGCGCGACATCATGTGACATCACGAGTTTGACATGTCTACTCTAGGGTCTCAGCATCTTTTTTCTATTGTCGTGACTGGAATTGGACCCAATATTATAAGTATAGTATAAGCATAAGGGATTTGTGTGCATGTAATGATAAATTAATAAGATATTAAGATTGCAGGGTAGATATTTGGATTGGAATTAAAGGACAATGGAATACATGCTCAAGGACAGAGCGGTGGGAGCAATGAGTGCCTCCACTTGTTTATTGGACCCGTGTCCTTCCTGGTTGGTCTCGGCTGCCAAGGAGGTGACACGAAGCTGGCTCCAGGTGTTGATCAACGCTTCATTGAGGGAGGGGTCTTTTCCACAATCCCTGAAGGAGGTGGTTGTGAGGCCCCTGCTCAAGAAGCCTACCCTGGACCCAGCTGATTTAAATAACTTCCGTCCAGTCTCCAATCTCCCCTTTGTGGGGAAGGTTGTAGAGAGAGTGGTGGCGCTCCAGCTCCGACGGTCTCTGGATGAAGCGGATTATCTAGACCCTTTTCAATCTGGCTTCAGCACAGAAACCGCTTTGGTCGCGCTAATGGATGATCTCTGGCGGGCCTGAGACAGAGGTTATTCCTCTGTCTTGGTGCTACTTGACCTCTTAGCGGCTTTCGATACCATCGATCATGGTATCCTTTTGCGATGACTCGAAGGGGTGGGAGTGGGAGGCACCTTTTTACAGTGGTTCTCCTCCTACCTCTCTGGCCAGTTGCAATCGGTATTGGTGGGAGGGCAGAGGTCAACCCCGAGGCCCCTTGAATGCGGCGTGCCACAGGGGTCGGTCTCTCTCCCCTCCTATTTAACATTTATATGAAGCTGCTGGGTGAGATCATCAGACAGCACGGGGTGAGGTTTCATCAGTATGCTGATGATACCCAGTTATATATCTCCTCCCCGAGCTCTCTCAGTGAAGCGGCCGATGTGATGGGCTGTTGCCTCGAAGCCGTGAGGGTCTGGATGGGGGTTAACAGACTCAGGCTCAATCGTGACAAGACCGAGTGGCTTTGGATATTGCCTCCCAAGGATCATGTCGACTGTCCAGTGTTGACTCTTGCGGGGGAAAATATACCCCCTTTGGAGCGGGTTCGCAACTTGGGTGTCCTCCTTGATCCACAGCTGAATTTGGAACATCAATTGACGGCTGTGGCTGGGAGGACCTTTGCACAAGTTCGCCTGTTGCACCAGTTGCGACCCTACCTGGACCGGGAGGCTCTCCTTACAGTCACTCACGCCCTTGTCACCTCACGTTTGGACTACTGCAACGCGCTCTACATGGGGCTACCCTTGAAAAGTATTCGGAGACTATAGTTGGTCCAGAATGCAGCCGCGCGAGTGATAGTGGGTGCTCCTCGATACACCCACGTTACACCTATCCTCTGTGAGCTGCACTGGTTGCCTATTGGTCTCTGGGTCCAATTCAAGGTGTTGGTCATTACCTTTAAAGCCCTATATGGCTCAGGGCCAGGCTATTTGCGGGACCGCCTACTACCTCATAGTTCCCTACGTCCAGTTAAATCCCACAGGCTGGGCCTCCTTCAGGCCCCGTCGGACAAGCAATGCCATTTGGCGGGGCTGCGGAGGAGGGCCTTCTCTGTGATGGTGCCCACGCTTTGGAATCAGCTCCCCCCGGAGATTAGGACCGCTCCCACCCTGTTGGTCTTCCGTAAGCTACTTAAGACCTGGCTTTTCCGGCAGGCCTAGGGTTTATAAAACCTTACCTCTGGTTGATTGTTTTTGTATTGTTGTTTTGTTATGTTTTATGTGTTTTTTATTGTTAGCCGCCCAGAGTCTTTCGGGAGTGGGGCGGCTTATAAATTTTAAAAATAAAATAAAATAAAATAAGGAAGGTTTCAGTGGTCCAAAAATAAAATGATTGAGCGATTGTGGTGGAAAAATAAGGGATAGCTTAAATTATTTCTGAGCCAAATATGTGGCAGTCTATAGATTTTTAAAAAAATCCTGTGGTATATAGGATGGCCAGTGCTGCCTTCCCCAAATACAACATAAACTGTATCCTCATTAATCTGGGAAACCACCCAAACAAGGCAAGCCTGCTTACGCTGAATATCCTGTTTCTTTTTGCAGATCTTCACTGGTATTTTTACGGCTGAGATGGTGTTTAAGGTTATAGCATTGGATCCATATTATTATTTTCAGCAAGGCTGGAATATTTTTGACAGTATAATTGTCACGCTAAGTTTGATGGAACTAAGCCTTTCCAGCATGGGAAATGTGTCTGTGTTACGCTCCTTCAGACTGGTAAAATATTTTACCTTTCTCTTTTTCTCTAAGACATAAAATGCAAAGCCTTTGCAATACTTTTAGCAGGATTAAAATAATAAAATAAAATAAAATTGCATGTGGGGTAGTAAAGGTAGTCCTCCACTTACGACCACAATTGACCGCAAAATTTCTGCTGGTAAGCAAGGCTGTTGTTGAGTCAGTTTTGCCCCATTTTACAAACTTTCTTGCCACAGTTCTCAAGTGAATCACTGCAGGTGTTAAGTTAGTAACGTGGTTGTTAAGTGAATCTGGCTTGTCAGAAGGTTACAAAAAGCGATCATGTGACCCTGGGGCATCGCAACCTTCATAAGTATGAGCCAATTGCCAAGCATCTGAATTTTGGTCAGGTGACCATGATGATGCTGCAAATTGTGAGAAATGAGCATGTCATTTTTTTCCGGTGCCGTTATAATATCAAATGTTCATTAAATGAATGGTTATAAGTTGAGGACTATCTGCATTTTATCTCCTTTCTTGTATTTGGCAACTTTTAAGTCCTTACCCATGTTGTCCATTTCATCCAATTTCATATAGTGGATGACTGGTATAGGACCTGCTATAGTACAGTTACATCAGTATAGTCCAGGGGTAGGCAACCTTGGCTCTTTTATGACTTGTGGACTTCAACTCCCAGAATTCCTGAGCCAGCCATGCTGAGGGGAAAGGGAGAGTTTCCAAGCTGAGCCATGCTGGCTCAGGAATTCTGGGAATTGAAGTCCATGAGTCATAAAGGAGCCAAGGTTGCCTACCTCTGGATTATACTGATGTAACTGTACTATAGCAGCTCCCAAACACTATGAACACAACTGGTTAGCAGCAGATGGCCAAATGAGGATAAGATTACAAAGCGCAGTGAAAGCAAACGATTGTCTCAACTTCCCCTGGTCTCTCAAAGGGCCTTAAAGCTACAACTCATATCAAAGGTACCCTGTTGATGTAGACAGTTTGACATATGATAATTATGGCTGAACTCGTTGCGCTCTTTTCAAAACAATTTGCATAGCAAATACTAATTTATTTTAAAATATTTTTATATCAGAGGGCGCAATGGCTCAGCGGTTAAAGACACTGAGCTAGTCAGTAGGAAAACTGACAGCCTAGGTTCAAGGCCCCCAGCACTGCCTGGTGGGGAGAGCTCCCAGCTCCTGCCCACCTAGCACTTTTATTTATTTATTTATGAGACTTATATACCGCTTTAAGTGCGAGCACTCTCTAAGTGGTGTACACCAGTAAGCAATGTATGTATGTGTGTGTGTGTATGTATGTATATATATATATATATATATATATATATATATATATATATATATATGCCCCCAACAATCTGGGTCCTCATTTTACCTACCTCGGAAGGATGGAAGGCTAAGTCAACCTTGAGCCGGTGAGATTTGAACCGCCGACCTGCTGAACACAGTCAGCTAAAGTGGCCTGCAGTACTGCACTCTAACTGCTGCGCCACCTCGGCTCGGTTAAAGCATGTGTATGGGAGTAGATAAATAGGTTCCACTTTGGTGGGAAGATAACAGTGTTCCATGCACCTTGGCATATAGCCATCCTGGTCACTTGACCATGGAAGAATCTTTGGACAATGTTGGCTAAGAAACAGAGATGAACACTTCCCCCTAGAGTTGGACAGGGAAAACCTTTATCTTTACCTTTAGTTTTATATCCATTGTCATGTTAATCATCTCAAAGCAATGTACTGAGAGCAGTACCAATAATCCTGAGTGCAAATGCCAAGTAGAGAAGGTCGATCTACAAAGAACATCAAGAAATCAGTCTTTTAGCCCTATAAATGCAGGACCACCTTATCTGATGATCTTTGTCATTACTCCAACCTTTAAGAGAGGACAGTGATCAACTAGGTATCCTAGTCCCAAGCTTTAGCATTCTTTAGATACAAGGGCCTTGGTTTATAAGGGATTGTTGTTAGCATCACTAAGAGACATGGTTGTAAAGCCTAATGCCATGCAGCTGTGTCACTTAGTAACAGCAATTCTAGCAGTCCTAGTTGTTTTTGTTAAGTGAAGCCCTGCAGGTCTTTAAGTTAGGATCTGATTTGACTGCAACTTCCTGCTAGCTTCTCCATTGACTAAGCCAGCAGAAAATGTTGGAACTTACAGTCACATGACTGTAGCTCAATGTGATATTGTAAACGTGAGCTAGGCACTAAGTGTGAGGATACAGGGATAGCCAGAACTATGAGAACCTGTTATAAGGGTCATTTGTTCAGCATTTTCATAACTTTGAATTGAACAAATTGTTTTAATCTGAAGACTAACCTGTATGCCAGGAATGCGACCTTTGAACCTGGCTTCATTCATGTTTGCTTCAGCACACTTCAGTGTAGTTGCTTTGTGCATCAACTATGGTATTCAGACAAAGCCTTAAGATAGCCCCACATATAGTGTGTTATAGTAATCTTCTACTGTATAAATGCTTAGAACTAGATTATTCAAAGGATTTAGTTCATGCCCACATTGGCACTTGTCGGTAGAGAAAGCAAACTGTGGCCCATAGCTTGCATGATGCCCTCAGCCTCATCGTTGCAGCTCCATTAGATTTTCAAGGTTGCAATGCTTATTTGTAGGGGAGTAGGCAAAATCAGAATGTTTGCTCTTTAAAAACACTGCAAGCCCCTCAAATAGGTATGATATAGAAGTGGTAAATAAAGTTTTCCTGACATTTTGTTCATCTTTCAGTGGCTTCATAGACATTTCTGCAGATTTCTTGGCAATAGTAGAGTGGTAGTTTGCTATTGTCTTTTTTCAACATGTTTTTTTTTTCCGACTTCCCACTCTAAAGAGCTAAAGACCTTTTTTTCAGTCTCCCTCTAGCCAAGTCCGACTCTACTTAAACTTTTTGAGAAGAGACAAGATCATCTAGATATTACCATCTAATGTTAGCACTTCTGTTTTGAACCTTGGTTCAAATGAGCCAAATACCTGTTGACTCTTCCCAGTTCAGGTTGTAACTTCTTTTTTTTTTTTATTAAAAATTTTTATAAATTTTTACAAAAAGACAAAAAAAAACAATACAATACAATACAAAAACAAAGCAAAACAAAACAAAGCAAAACAAAACAAAACAACCCTTCCCCAACCCTCCCCAAAACCCCCACTCCCTCCCCCCCTGGAGCTTCCCAGAGCAGAATATAGGTTTAATTAAAAAAAGTTAAAAAAAATTATATGAAAAAAAAGAATATAACACTAAAATATATGTGTATATATAAAAATAAAAGTTATAAAAAAGCTAGATGATATTTTTTTATATCCAATTTAAATTGTATAAACTTTATCCATTTATCCCAAACAGCAAGAAATTTCTCTTGCGATTGTTCTTTTAAGAAAGCCGAAATCTTTGCCATTTCCGCCAAATAAGACACTTTAAGAAACCATTCCTGCAAAGTAGGCAAAGATTCCTTCTTCCAATATTGTCCTACTAACAGCTTTGCGGCTGTAATCAAGTTCAACATCAATATAACCTCCTTTGTATCACAATCAGTAACTATACCTAATAAAAATAATTGTGGAGTAAATTTTACCCTCCTTCTAAAAATTCTCTGAATATTCCACCATATCTTAATCCAAAAGGCTTTTATATTTCTGCACGACCACCAGATATGATAATAGGTGGCATCCAAACAACCACATCTCCAACATTTAGGCTGTAGGTCAGGGTACATAAAAGACATTTTTTGTGGATCAAGGTGCCATCTATAAAACATTTTATAAAAATTCTCCCTTAGATTCTGTGCTTGTGTAAATTTAACATTTCTCACCCAAATAGTTTCCCAAGTATCCAGTAGAACTGGTTCACCAAAATTCTGCGCCCATTTAATCATACAATCCTTAATTAATTCTGTTTCTGAATCCAATTCCATTAGAACCCCATAAATTCTCTTAATATGAGTTTGTCTTTGATCCTTCACTTGCTTAATAAGATTTTCGTCTTCTCTGAGGAAACCCACCTTACAATCCATCTTCCATCTGTCTACTAATTGCCTATATTGAAACCAAGAATAAATAATATTTTCATGTGCTAGCTTTTCCAATAGTTTTAACTGCCAGTTTTGTCCATCCCATCTAAGTAACTGTGTATAAGACACCGTATCCATTTTGACACCTCTTTTTATCCCCTCTATCGCATGCCAAGGTATAGCCCATAATGGTATTTTAAAATCACTTTTATAATATTTTCTCCAAACCCTAAGTAAAGAGATTCTTATAATATGAGATTTAAAAGCCCGGTCCACTTTTTTATTAAATATTAAATAGGCATGCCAACCAAAAAGTAAATCCCATCCCTCCAAATAGAGTATCTCCAAATTTGTTAAATTTACCCAATCACTAATTAATGTTAAAACCACCGCATCATAGTATAATTTCAAATTCGGTACCTTGAGTCCACCTCTCTCACGGGAGTCTTGCATGATTTTAAACTTTACCCTTGTTTTTTTCCCTGCCCAGATAAATTTGTTAATACCTTTCTGCCATTCACTTAAATTAATCTCATTCTTCAAAATCGGTAACATTTGAAACAAAAAAAGAAACTTGGGTAGAACATTCATTTTTATCACTGCAATTCTTCCCATGAGAGATAATTGCAACTTCTCCCAATTCCTCAAGTCTTTCTGTACTCTAACCCACAACCTTTCATAGTTATTCTTAAACAATTTTGCATTAGAAACAGATAAAATCACCCCCAAATATTTTACCTTATTAACAATTTCAAAACCCGTCAAATTAACCAAAATCTGCTTCTCCCGAATAGTCATATTTTTAGGTAGGATTTTAGTCTTATTAACATTAATCTTAAAACCCGAAACCAAACCATAATGATAAGTCAACTGTAATAACTTTACTACAGAATAAGTAGGTTGCGACAAAGTAACCACCAAGTCATCTGCAAAAGCTCTTAACTTATATTCTTTTTTGTTAACTTCTATTCCTTTTATTTCCTGCGACTCTCGAATTTTAATCAACAATATTTCCAATGTTAAAACAAACAGCAACGGTGATAATGGACATCCCTGCCTAGTACCTTTCTCTATTGTAAAAACCTCTGACAAACCTCCATTAACAATAAGTTGTGCCGTTTGTTTTTGATATATTGCCGTAAGAGCTTGTAATATCTTTTCACCAAGATTCATCTCTTCTATTACTCTTAACATAAAATGCCAATTCAATTGATCAAAAGCTTTTTCAGCATCTAAAAATATCAGCCCTGCAGAAACTTGATTATTCTTATCTAGATATTCTAATAAATTAATAATTTGTCTAGCATTATTTTTCATGTACCTACCAGTTATAAACCCAGATTGATCCTTGTGCACAAGATGATGCACAACCCTCATAAGCCTATTTGCTAAAATTTTTGCAAATATCTTATAGTCAATATTTAAAAGAGCTATAGGTCTATAATTCTTTGGTAAAGTAAGATCTTGATCCTCTTTTGGGATCAAGGATATAAAAGCACTACGCCATGAAGGAGGAATCTCTGAGCCCTGTAAAATATTATTAAAAAGATCACCTAATGGTTGAATCATCTCTTCCATTAGAGCTTTGTAATAAACATATGTCAACCCATCCGTGCCCAGTGCTTTCCCTGGTTTCAATTGTTTGATTGCTATCGCAATTTCCTCATTAGTAATTAAACCATTAATTTCATGTTTCTGGTCCTCTGTCAGTTTGGGAAAGTTGGCCTCACTTAAATATTTATTTATATCTAAAATTTGCACATTAGTAGATTTATATAATTTTTGATAGTAATCTAAAAAAGATTTCTTAATCAATTCCTTCTGATACACTAGTTTACCCTTATAGTTTATTTTATCTATTATTCTCTGTCTCTGTTTCTTTCTTAATTGATAAGCCAACCATCTCCCTGGTTTATTAGCATTACAAAATGTATTTTGTTTCATAAACAATAAATTGGTTGCGGATTGATCCGCCATCAACATGTTAAATTGTGTTCTTAACAACTTTATAGATTCTTTAATCCTTTCATCTGAAGGATTTAAAACCAAAAACTTTTCTTTTAATTTGATCTCATCTTCCAATTCTTTACGTTTCTGAGTCTGCTTTTGCCTATGAAAGTTATTCATTTTTATCAAAATCCCACGCATAAATGCTTTACCTGCATCCCATACCATTGACATTGAAGTCCCCTTATACATATTCAGAGCAAAATAATCCTTTAAACACTCCTTTAACTTTTGAACATTCTTTTCTTGTCTAAATAAGTTCTCATTCACCCTCCAGGATCTTCTCTCCTCTTTTTCTTGAGTCAGCTCCATCCAAACTGGACTATGATCCGTCAGCGATCTAGGAAAAATCTTTACATTCTTTACTCTATTATATAAATCTGTTGTAATCAAAAAGAAATCAATTCTTGAAAAGGATTGGTGTCTATCTGAAAAGAAGGTAAAGTCTCTCTCCTCTTGATTACATTCCCGCCAATAATCCCTTAGTTCCCAGTCCTCTTTCATGTCAAAAAAGGCTTTAGGTAGTTTTGCCTGTTTAAAAAGAGGAGAAGGACCTTTCTTGTCCCTTTGTATATCTAGGACACCATTCCAATCACCCATTAATATCACGGATCTATAGTCCAGCAAAGTTATTTTTTGATGTAACAATCTATAAAATTGTTCCTGTTGCTGATTTGGTGCATAAAGTCCCACTATAAGTATTTTCTTACCATATAAACCAAGTTCAATCATTACATATCTTCCTTGGGGATCTGATTCTACCAGACAAGCTGGTAAATTTTGCTTCACATAAATAACCACTCCCCCCTTTTTCCCAGGAGCTGAAGATACAAAATGAGATCCCAGACGGGCGTTAACTAAATATTTTTGATCTTTAAGTAAAATATGAGTTTCCTGTAGGCAGATAACATCATTATTATGTTGCTTTAAGTAGTAAAAGATTTTCTTTCTTTTCTGAGGGGAATTTAGACCGTTAACATTCCAGGTCAGAAACTTTGCCATCTCCCTTGACCAGGAGCCTGGAGAAGACTACCTGGAGGTCTGCCATTGCTGTATGTGTTGCAGAACTCTTGGGTCTTGCTCCTCCCACTGGCAATGAAGCACTTTCCGAAGAAGATTCTTTAATTTCTTTCTTTTGTTGCTCCTTTTCCTTACGTCTATGTGCTGCACGGGTCATCCTCTGCTCTTTAACCTCTGTTTGACGTTGCCATTCAGCTTGCATCTTCCCAGCAGAGATCAGACCTAATGTTTCAGGTTGCTGTTCCAGCTCTTTACCACTCAAGAGCTTCTGAACAGATGAAGCTGACCCTGCACCCAGGACCGTATTATAAAACTCTTTAGCTTTGGCAACCGTGTTCAGCCTGTGACGCGTCCCCGCATGGCTCAGAGTATTACCCATCAGGATCTCCCATCTGAATGGCATCAATCTAGCTTTAAGCTCATTAGCTAAAAAAGCAAAATCTTTCCTATTTCTTAGGATTTTTGATGGGATATCCTTTAGAATGATAACATCTTGGGCAGCAATCTGGAATCTCTTATTATAAAAAGCTTGTATAATTTCATTACGCAGAGACTTCTTTGTAAAATAAATCACAACATCTCTAGGCAAGTTCTTCTGCTTTGCAATCCAGGAATTAACTCTATAAATTTTTTCCACTTCTCTGCGTAATTCTCCTTTATCCATATTCAAAGCAACAGCTAGATCACTAAGCACTATCTCCATCAAATCTTGATTCATGTCCTCCTTCAGACCCCTGATCCTCAGGGCGTGCTCCATCTCCCTATACTGAGACATAAGGATATCTTCTTGTGAAATCTCCATCTTCCTTTCCATATCTTGAAATTTATCCTCAAAAAAGTCAACTTTGTCTGCAACTTCCTCCACTCTCGAGTCCAGCTTCACCACCACAGAAGCCAAACCTGATAAGGCTGTAACTATATCTTGCCGCATAATAGTATTATTATCCTCTAATGAATCCTTCATTTCATTTAATTCCACTTTAATTTCAGATTTAATCTGTACAACAAGTTGCTTCATTTCATCTCTAATTTGAGATACAGCATCTCCCATTATGTCTTTAATCTCTTGTGCAGACAGGCCTGGCAGAGGAGGGGAAGGTGGTGGCTGGGTCGGTGGTACATGTTTAGGTTGTTGTTGTTGTTGTATAGTTAAAGTTGTGGGAGAGGAAACCACCTTGGGTAGTATAGAAGGCGGTTGTCTCTTTGAAGCCATTTTTTAAAACACAGTTCTATCTTCCCTTCTCCCCCCCAAAAAAGGGAAGGGGGAGATAAAAATTAAAAAGAACAAAAATACTGTAATCCTTAGAATTCCGAAAAAGAAAAAAGAGAAAAAATCAAGAGAAAGATCCAAAGCTGAGAACAAGGAAATCAAAAACAGTCATTTAAGTCCATTACCTTCCAAGAAAAATAAGAACAAAGAGACAAAGAAAAAAAAAAAGCCGAACACTTTCAAAGCGCCATCTTTTTTTCTCTCTCCGTGCCAGCAAAAAAGAACAAAGGAGAAACAACCAAAACTAACTAGAAAAGGAAAATAAAACACTAAACTATAAAAAGAAATCCTTTAAACCGCTCTGTCCGCTTCAAAAGTTCACCGAGACTCTTTAACCGCGGAGATAGAAGCGGCGGTTCCTTTTGCTTCCGAAAAAGCAAAAACAGCTGGGAGGCGGAGATCAGCAGGAGCTCCGAGGGAACACTCCTTCCACCCCCTCAAGGAAAAAATCCAGAGGGGGTTCAGGTGTTCTACCTCTACTCCTGCATTCTCTACCCCTTCCCTTTGCCCGGGAAGGGGATTCCGAACCGCGGGCCAGCTGATGTGCGCTGTGCTCCGCGGCTCTGACACCTTCCCAGCTGGACGGCTACAAAGTAGCCGCCATCATCGCCGCCACGTACCGGAAGCTCCCGTAACTTCATTGTCATGTCTCCTATAGACCCTCAAACTCCCTGCACATCTCCACCTCTCCCCTTGCTTGTCTTTTACTAACGCTTCTGGAGACAGGATATGACTCTCCACTCAATGAAGATAAGAGGGTTCATTCAAAGCACCGCTAATTGAGACAGGTGTGAGGGTTATCCCAAAGATGTGAGAGATAGGTGTGAGAATTATGCCTGCCACATGCAGATTTGGGATGCTGTTTGTTTCTTTTCCACATACTAAGCGTTATACATGAACTAAAACAGAGGAAGAAGGACACAGCAATAGAACTCTTACACTTGTTTTTAATCTGCACCAGCTCTTCATCTTCTTCACAGGGAGTCTTCAAGTTAAAACCAAAATTGAGCCCAAAATTTGTGTTGCGAAGTGAGACAGACGTTCTTAAGTGAGTTTTGCCCTATTTTACAACCTTCCTTGTCATAATTGCTACATGAATCACTTCAGTTATTAAGTTAATAACATGGTTGTTAAGTGAATCTGGTTTACCCAATGACTTTATTTGTCAGAAGGTTGCAAAAGGGGATCACGTGACCCAGGGACACTGCAACTGTCATAAATATGAGCCAGTTGCCATGGGTCTGAATTTTGATCATGTGGCCATGGGGAATGCTGCAACACATGTATGAAAAATGGTCGTAAGTCACTTTTTTCAGGGGTGTTGTAACTTTGAATGGTCACTAAATGAACAGTTGTAACTACTTGTATATTCTACCCACCCACCCATCCATCCATCCATCCACCCATCCATCCATCCACCCACCCACCCACCCATCCTCTATTAATATTATTCAGTGTTCTTCTCTAAGACTTAGTTATGTTTTTGTGATTTTTTCCCCTTACAGCTAAGGGTCTTCAAGCTTGCAAAATCTTGGCCAACCTTAAATACGCTTATTAAAATAATTGGAAACTCAGTGGGAGCATTGGGAAATCTTACCCTTGTTTTAGCCATCATTGTCTTCATTTTTGCGGTGGTCGGGATGCAGCTTTTCGGAGATTTGTACTACAAGAATGTCAGCAGAATCAGCAGCAACGGAATGCTACCCCGCTGGCACATGAAGGACTTTTTCCATTCTTTTCTAATAATCTTCCGCATCCTTTGTGGAGAATGGATTGAAACTATGTGGGACTGCATGAAAGTCGTTGGTCAGCCACTGTGTCTCCTGGTGTTTCTGCTGGTCATGGTGATTGGGAACCTGGTGGTAAGTACTGCAAAACATTTTGGGGTGGGCGGGGTACGTTCCACATCTTCACTACAGCTTCTACTTTCCAGGGGCTGAGTACAGGTAGTCCTCAATGTACAATTACAATAGAGCCCAACATTTATGTTGCTAAGCAAGACATTTGTGAGTTGCATCCCATTTGCTAGCAAATCGTGAGTTGCATCCCATTTTCTGGCCTTTCTTGCCATTGTTGTTAAATGAATCACTACAGTTTTTAATTTGGTCACATGGTTGTTAAATGAATCTGGTTTACCCATTGGTTTTGCTTGTCAAAAGTTCACAAAAGGTAGACACGTGACATTGGGACACTGCAACTGTCATAAATATGAGTCCGTTGCCAAGCATCCAAATTTTGAACCTGTGACCGTGGGAGTGCTACAATAGTCATAAGTGTTGAAAACAGTTGTTTCAAAAATGCTTTTGTCAGTGCTGTGGGAACTTCAAATGGTCACTAAATGAATGGTTGTAAGTCGAGGATTATCTGTACAAGAATTACTCTAAGAATTCCATGGCTAAAAGATGGGACGTAGTTTCTTCAGCAATCGGCAATCTTCTATGCATTGCATAACTACTTCTTCAATCAGTTATAAAGATTTGCAGGTATTGCAAACATAAAATCTTTCCAGAATGATTATGAATGAGGAAAAAAATAGAATAAATATATCCTTCATGGTTGCCAGTCCTGAGGGAAACCAGATTCTCCCTCACAATCCTTGTCCTGTTCCAGGAAACTTACTTCCAGTAGGAAAAGTAAGGATGGAGATTGTGTCAACAGGTGAACTGAGGGAAAACATTGTCAGTATGCAACATATAATAATAATAATAGTAGTAAAGTTGGAAGGGACCTTGGAGGCCATCTAGTCCAACCCCCTGCTCAGGCAGGAAACCCTACACCATTTCGGACAAATGACTGTCCAGTCTCTTCTTAAAAACTTCCAGTGTTGGAGCATTTACTGCTTCTGGAGGCAGGTTGTTCCACTGGTTAATTGTTCTCACTGTCAGGAAGTTTCTCCTTAGTTCTAGGTTGCTTCTCTCCTTGATATGCTCTTGGGGGATAATTTTAACAGCCATCTAGTACTGGATTCAGATAGTACAAATGTATCTATTGTCTTGTCTTATAATTGATGATACAGCTGTATGTTGCACTCATATTTCTGCTTTTGAAACATAGCACGATGTGTTAAGGGTCTGGGACAGATATTTTACCTCAGTGTGTTCTGAGGTTATTAACCTGCCAGTAGGCCAAATCTAAAATGGGAGCAGTTGATGAGGCCTCTTCCAAAAGTCACATTGCTATTTAGAACACACTGTGCCTCAGCTAACCACAGTATATTTGTATGTCTGTATGACCAAATGGTTTTACTTATCATGTCTGGAGAGTATCAGATCATCAAAGTTTACATCAACTTTGCCTCTGCAACTGGAACCATTTCTGATATGTTAGAGCTGTGGTGGTGAACCTACGCTACATGTGCCACTGGTGACACGCAGAGCCCTCTCTGTGGGCACACACACCATCGCCCCAGTCCTAGGCCTTCAGCTGGGTTTTATAAAATCTTTTCGCTTTAGGCCTCCACCACTCTGTGCAAGAAAAAAAAAGTTCAATCAATCAATTTCAACTTCTTGTGGGGAAAAAAAAGATCTCCCAAAGTTAGAATTGATGGATTGAACTTTTTAGTCCCACCCAGTCTGCCACTACCACTGCAGCCACCCTACCCAATTGACCATGCTCACCCAATTGGCCACACCCATCCAATGGGCCATGCCCACCCACAATACATAAGTGGGTTTTGGTTTGCAGTTTGGGCACTCGGTCTCTAAAAGGTTCACCGTCACTGTGTTAGAGATGGAGGGGTCCTTGGCGTTCTCTGAGCTTGGTTGTTTTCTTGCAAATGTTTCATCACATGTTACTAGGTAATATCATCAGTAATGAAACATCTGCAAGGAAATAACCATGCTCAAAAAGCACCCTGTCATTTCAGCCCTGAACTGCAAATATTTTTCTTTATGTTATAATTTGCCAGAACAACAATTATTTCAACAAACATCACCTAGTGTAAAATCCAAGAAATGCAAAGAAGCCTATTAAAGTCATAAGAAATGTGGGAAAAAGAAGCACTGGAGTTAAACTTAACCTACAGGCAGTTCTCAATTTACGACCACAACTGAGCCCAAAATCTCTGTTGCTAAGTCAAACAATTGTCAAGAGAGTTTTGCTCCATTTTACGACCTCCCTCACCACAGTTGTTAAGTGAATCACTGCAGTTATTAAATTAGCAACATGTTTTTTAAGTGAATCTGGCTTCCCCATTGACTTTGCTTGTCAGAAGGTGGCAAAAAGTGATAACGAGACCCTGGGACATTGCAAGCATCATAAACAAGAGCCAGTTGCCAAGTGTTGAATTTTGATTACATGACCATGGGGATTCTGCAATGGTTGTTAAGTGTTAGAAACAGTTATAGGCCAGCTTTTTCAATGCAGTTGTAACTTTCACCGGTCACTAAAGAATACTTGTAAGTTGAAGTCTACTTGTATTTCTCATACTGATAGAGGAGAATGAATAATTTAAAGTAGCTTCATTTAGCATGCAATGAAGAATGTTTTTAGATAAGGATTTCTCTAGTGTCTTAGTAGCTTCTGCCAGATTTAAGCCAGAAAAGTCTATCGCCATCCATGTTATGCCTCTATAGAATTCGAGCACATATTACAGTCCTGTGGGATCACATCTAAGGAAAGCAGAGCTGGTGTGATTGAGTGTGTGGCTGTCAGCATGTGTGAAGGACATCTCCCACCAATCATTGCACCTTTAAAGTATTGGTCTGTCAAGATTTGTGAACTAGGTCTGTGTTGTGGAAACCACTAGCAGGCTTCAGACAGGACATTCAGTATAGAATAACTTATCTGAGCTTGAATTTAAGATAACATGCAATCATCTGGGTGTTAACGCTTGTGGCTCTCAAAACATCTTGGCAATTCTGAAACCCTTGGTGTAAATGTGTGCTTCCTGCTGTCCAATCTGGCTCATAATAACACTGTGGTACGGCTGCCAGTGTTCAGTCATATGGTGTGCATCATTCCTCTCGGAGAGTATCTTGACCGCAGCGTCCAAATTAGGGAGTGCGTAGCACTCTTTCGCAAAGTCACGTTGCACCACTGTAATCAATGCTTTTAGAGTGAGATTCCAAAGGATTTGGAGGAGTGATAGAATGAGACTTATGCATTCACAGGGAAAGGAGATCAGATTAATCCTTGTCCTTTAATGATGTTGGCAATTGGGTTTTGCAAAATGGCTTAGCCGGTTTCACACGAGAATAGGTATCACGGAGGAAGCTACAGTTTGGTTGAGTTATGAAGAACAAAGAAGGGTCTCTGCAGGATTCCCAGCCTTCTTGAATGATTGCCAACAAACTGCATCCTATGAGCTGACATAACAGAGTCACGGGGTGCCCCTGTTTGATCTGTGAAGTGATTTTGTAAATAGATAATAGGCTTGGTTGACTGGGCGGGACTGAGACAATGACACAGCTGTAGGAATTATGACCTCTAAACCCTTGGGCTAAAATTTCAGTCCTGTTCATATGAGACCACGATTTATTTTATTTCTAAGCAAAGGTGGCAGATGAATGGAGTTATACAATTCATTAATCATGCTTGAGAATCTGGAATTTCCTGTGTCACTATTTCGTACATGCGGATGTGATTGTGAACATTACCAAGAGGTCAGAAATGCTGGAGGTATGTCAATGGAGAAAGCCAACTTTCTGGAGAGAGAAAAAATCCTTCCAAAATAATAGACAACCCACTGAGTTAGCTGCTATAGCTCGGGAGTAAAACTGCAAAAAAATAATTTTGGCTGATTCATCAGTGTATTGTTTTTTGTTGTGGTTGAATTTACTGTATATAATCAAGAAGAGAACCAGCCTAGAATTAAGGAGAAATGTCTAACAGTAAGAACAATTAATCAGTGGAATACCTTACCTTCAGAAGTTATAGGTGCTCCAAAACTGGAGGTTTTTAAGAAGAGATTGGACAAACATTGGTCAGAAACAATATAGAGCAGTGGTGGCGAACCTATGGCACGGGTGCCAGAGGCGGCACTCGGAGCCCTCTCTGTGGGCACATGTGCCATGGTCCCAGCCTCACCTCTCCCCACAACCCCCTTCTCACCAGCAACCCCCCTGGAGAAGAGTCACCCCCAAGCATGGCCCACATGGAGCAGCATAGCCAAGGACATGGCAGCCAGGCAGTGTAGACAAGACTCTGCCCTCACACCGCATCCTGCACAATTGATATTGCGGGACACGGGCAGAGGGCGTGGCCGCCATGGCACTGCTGGGCTGCCCGGGTGATCTGTGGTGGGCTCTGGAGGCGGTGAGTGGCCCTGCGGGCAGGCGGAGTGGGGGATGGGGTGGGGGCGGGGCAGGGGGGTAGAGCAGGGGTGGGGCCAGTTTTGAGACACTCAGTCTGTAAAAGGTTCACCATCAGTGGTATAGAGTTTCCTGCTTGAGCAGGAGGCTAGACTAGAAGACTTTCAACGTCCCATAGAACTTTGTTATTCTATCCTCCCTCTTCTCCAAGAATTGCTCCAATTTTTCCTTACTGCAATTCTTTGGATCAATTGGGCTGAGAGTCAATGGTGGCCAAATTCAATGAGTATCCCTGGCTGACCACATGAATCTGGCTCTCCTTGGTCTTAGCCTTTCACTGTCCTAGAAGGTGATTTATAGAAGTTTTCTACTACTATATTAAGTAGTACCTGTGTTGATGAAATCAGATTACCTGAAGAGACAGGAGATTCCATCTGATCTAAATCTATTAATTTCAATATGATTCAACAATTTTTGTTTATGTATTTACACTATTAAGAAAATTTATATGGCCATCCTACATACTCTCAATGTCTACGACTACTTAAAATGATAAACCCCCAATTTAAAACCTAATAATCTTCTACCTCCTTGGTGGAATAAGACCAGAC